TCTACAAAGGATAGAAATAGAGGAAAGAAACCCCCCACCGACATCAAAGCCAAGGCCACAGCCGCGCCAGGCCATCCGGACAGTTTCAGCTGATCCATGTCAACACGTCGTCGCGGAGCTTCTGGAGGGACGCGCGAGGTAGGTGAGATCACGCCCTTTTTCGCCCTTTTTCTCTTCTTTTGAGTATTTTCTGTGGGGAGGAAGGGTCCAGAGGCTTTGTAGAAGGATAGAGGATGCTTTTTCACTTTTTATTTTTAGTTTGATCATCCTGGTTTCGGATTTTGTTTATAGAATCTTCTGAGTACGTCCAGGGAAATGCCGATGATGCTATCAGTAATTGCTGGAATTAGTTCGTATCAGAAGTGACATATTCTTGAAAAAGGAGGAGAACCTGATACCGTTGAGTTCAGACGTATACGAGACCTGCATTGGGCCTTTTTTTTCCTGGTACATCTGTTGCCATTGTCCTATCTGACTCCACTTAAAAATAACTGTGATCGGTTCTTGCATCTCCTGCAGCCTTCAAGCCCAACCCGGTAATAGCATTGTGTCAGTCAGGCACTGCTGTCACTGTATTTCACGCTCCAGCAAAGACCAACAGCCCATTTGGTAGAAATCTTGCATGATAGAACTTACACTGGTGCCTTATTGTTTTATATAAGGAAGGTCAACAAACTCCTGTCTTGCTAGAATTTATTGTATGTATCAGTTCGTCTTTGTTTGAGCACTGATAGGCAGGATAGAAGAATGTGGGTTATTTTGGCAGATTCTTCTAGCTTAATTCACTGATGGCTTGTATGCATCACACAAAAGTTTCTAGTGTGCTCTGACCACACTTGAAATGCTAGTTGAACTTTATGCAGCTTATTCTTCAGTGATCCAAAGGAGGATTATTATGAAAAGATTAATGGTCAATATGTAGTATAAGGTAGTGGCAGTGTTGGGTACTAAAACCTACATGATATGATAGAACAATACAAGCCAATATATGTGCAAATGCTTCCCAAGGGTGCTATACATAAAAGAAAAGAGAAGATCCCCCCCCTGCCCACCGGGTCAATATGTAGAAGAGGGTAGTGGTTTACTTTCAAAACAATTTTGATATTTTTCTGTATGAAATCCACTGCTTTCAATGATTCTAGGCATTGTTCCTTGTGGAAATGAATCGTTGAGGAGATATGATCACCATCTCCATCGACAATCTTGATTTGATAGTCCCGATAAGCAGGGGAGGGCATGAAGTAAATCAGGGAAATTATGGGGTAAAAAAGGACCCCCGTGGTTGTTAAACAGAACATTATAACCCAACATCCAACCTAACCTAACACCGTGGTATATACTCCCTAGCCAGGTGGGTCTGCCCCCTGGACCACCGTAGTAATAAATATGCCTAGCCAGGGGGCGTAGGGGACCCCCGTGGTAGTATATGCATCTAGAATTCACCCTCGCAATGTAAACAAGATGGGTGACTTAGCCAAAGTTGGGGGATCTACTCTTCTTTTACGCATAGCACCCTTGGGAAGCATTTGCACACATATTGCCATAGAAGAACTTTGTCTCGGCTTGTATTGTTCTATCAAATCATGTAGGTTTTATTACCCAACTCTGCCACTACCTTATGCTACATATTGTCTGTAGTAGTAGTAGTAATAGTGATAGTAATAGTAATAGTAATAGTAATAGTAGTAGTAGTAGTAGTAGTAGTAGTAGTAGTAGTAGTAGTAGTAGTAGTAGTAGTAGTAGTAGTAGTAGTAGTAGTAGTAGTAGTAGTAGTAGTAATAGTAGTAATAGTAATAGAAGTAAAACAATAAAAGAAATTAAACCATGAGAATCTAATAATATTGCTAAAGAGGGGTGAGGGTGCAAATAGTACGAGAATTACTTGTCGCATTTCATACCTAATAGTGAAAAAAACAAGAATGGAAACCAGCCTGCCAATTTTTGAGTGGCTGTACTCAATTATGTCTGCTCATAACAGGCTTAAAAACAAAGAAATTAATCAGTCAGTCTTCCTTGGACTTTAGGGGTCAATAGTAACAGTAATAATAGTAGTTGTAATAGTATGAGTAGTAGCAGTAATAGTAGCAATAGCAGTATAACTTATATACTTATTTTTTTTGTTTACTTGTACACAAAGTTTATTATTTAAACAATCCACCTTTCAGAAGCAGACCTAGAGCCATGCCTGAGGTAGACCAGAGTAAGGAAGTGAAAGTGGAGAAGGTACAGGAGGTGGAGGTGGAAGGAAAAGTTGAGGAGGTTTCGGAGGAATGGCTTGATGTTTTAGGAAGTGGAGACCTCAAAAAGAAGGTAAATCATTTTAACAGACATTTTTTTCCCCCCTTTGTTTTTAGGTGGATATATATCAATTGAAATAGTGTTTTGTTAAGAATGTAGTAGAGATGATGGATTATATATGTAGAAAAGATTGTAGTGTGATATATGAAAGGAATGTGATTAATAAGAATGTTTGAAAATATTTTAGACTAACAAGATGACAAGTCTTTAGATGTAAAACCAAAGATAGTGTAGTGTTCTTATAGTTCTTATGATTATTATGATATTTTTTTTTTCTTCAGGTGATAAAACCAGGAATAATTGACTCAAGACCAGTAAAAGGTGACACAGTTACAGTCAGAGCAACTGGAAGGCTGGACGATGGCAAAGAAGTGGATATTCACGATGAACTTACATTCACAGTTGGAGACAGCGAGGTAATATTTTTAAATGTTTGGATAACTTGTTCTGTTCTACTTCTATTCAGATGTCCATGAACATAGCTAAATATTAAATCATCATTTTAGAATGAGGTAGGCTATTTTGTTCTAGTTATTTATCCACAAAAGTAAAGGGTCATTTTGAGTGACAGATAGTTTAACATAAATGCTCTATTTGATCTTGGACATTATTGAATCTGATTATCTGCAAGCTTGATCTACTTATATATCAAAAGGTGTGAAGTTAATAGGAAATTCAAAGTTAAGTATTGATAGTAACAAATAACAAATATGTACCATTTTTAGATAATGACAGTGTATACCAACAAATAATTATGTATGAAAAATCATCAGGGTTAAACACTGTTAACACAGGGGTGTATTGCATAATATGTAATACACCTATGTATAGTTGTTCATTTATATCATATATGAACATATACTATGCTTTAGATGAGAATTAATTTTGAGTAATCTTAAAGTGATATTAAGGTGCTTGTGTAATGTTAGGATTAGAATGTATAAAGGGCTCTTCTGAATTATTTGACTCCTATAGCCTAACCATAGGCAGTAATACTTACAAGCTGATAAGACTAACAGTACCAGTAATCACAGCACTCATTTACAAATTTTAAATGTTTAGGAAGGTTTAGAAAGATAACCTTTTCAAATGTTAAATGCTATTTATGTTACTAAAATATTGTTTTCTTTTCATCTTACTTTTCAGGTGGTACTTGGATTGGACATGATTGTGCCTCTGATGGATAAGGGAGAAACAGCGGAGGTTTACATTGGTGCCAGGTAGGACCACCTGTGGGTTACCTCTTCAGTTCAGAATGCTTAAAAAATGTAACCTAATCTCCTCCTCCTGCTCCTCCTCCTCTTCTTCTTCTTCTTCTTCCTCTTCTTCTTCTTCTTCTTCTTCTTCTTCTTCCTCTTCTTCTTCCTCTTCTTCTTCCTCTTCTTCGTCCTCCTCCTCCTCTTCTTCTTCTTCTTCTTCTTCTTCCTCCTCCTCCTCCTCCTCCTCCTCCTCCTCCTCCTCCTCCTCCTCCTCCTCCTCCTCCTCCTCCTCCTATTCCTCCTCCTCTTCTTTCTCCTCCTCCTCCTCCTCCTCCTCCTCCTCCTCCTCTTCCTCCTCCTCCTCCTCCTCCTCCTCCTCCTCCTCCTCCTCCTCTTCCTCTTCCTCTTCCTCCTCCTCCTCCTCCTCCTCCTCCTCCTCCTCCTCCTCTTCTTCCTCCTCCTCTTCCTCCTCCTCCTCCTCCTCCTCCTCCTCCTCCTCCTCCTCCTCCTCCTCCTCCTCCTCCTCCTCCTCCTCTTCCTCCTCCTCTTCCTCCTCCTCTTCCTCCTCCTCTTCCTCCTCCTCTTCCTCCTCCTCCTCCTCCTCCTCCTCCTCCTCCTCCTCCTCCTCCTCCTCCTCCTCCTCCTCCTCCTCCTCCTCCTCCTCCTCTTCCCCCCCTCCTCCTCCTCCTCTTCCCCCCCCTCCTCCTCCTCCTCCTCCTCCTCCTCCTCCTCCTCCTCTTCCTCTTCCTCTTCCTCCTCCTCTTCCTCTTCCTCCTCCTCCTCATCCTTATGCTTATCCTCATCTTCCTCCTCCTCCTCTTCCTCTTCCTACTACTCCTCCTCCTCTTCCTCTTCCTCTTCTTCCTTCTCCTCCTTATCCTCATCCTCATCCTCATCCTTATGCTTATCCTCATCTTCCTCCTCCTCCTCTTCCTCTTCCTACTACTCCTCCTCCTCTTCCTCTTCCTCTTCTTCCTTCTCCTCCTTATCCTCATCCTCATCCTCATCCTTATGCTTATCCTCATCTTCCTCATCCTCCTTATCCTCCTTCTCCCTCTGTTCCTCTTCCTCCTCCTTGTTCTATTCCATCTTCTATTCCTCCTCCTTCTCACATGCCTACTCCTTCCCATTTTTAGCGAATTCCTATTGAACACATTTTCTTTTCCAGATTTGCCTACGGTTCAAAAGGGTTGCCTCCAAATATCCCACCAGATACCCCTCTAACCTACACCATTGAAATCTTAGACTCGTCCCCTGATGTGGAGCCCGACTCCTTACCGATCCCAAAACGGATGTCTATAGGGTAAGAGCTTGAAAAATGATGGTGGTGCATGTTTATGATGTGGTTTCTGTTGTATAGGAGTGTAGCTGAAGATTATGATACTTGTTTGTGGTTTGGTGTATTGTGTAGGAGTGTGTCTGAAGGTTATTGGTCTCTGCTGTTGTTTGAAGCCTCTCGTGTGAAAGGAAATAATTGGACTGTCTTCCAGGAATCGTAAGAGGGAGCGTGGCAACTGGTGGTTCAACAGGGAAGAATATGCCACCGCTATTCAGTGTTATAGTGCAGCTGTTGATTATCTAGATGATGCGACGGAGGAGTACGGGGTGAGTTTTATTCATCAGTCTTATGTTCATTCAAATGCTTAAGAACATAAATGAAAGTAATAAAAGATAAAAGTAATGAAAGATGCCTAATAACCCCTTTTGTTGGGTCCTCTTCGTCTTGCTAGGATGAAGTGAGGGATGAAGTAAAGCCTTTGCTGGTGGAGAGACTGAAGGCCCTCAACAATATGGGTGCTGCGCAGATCAAAGTGGGTGCCTATGACGTGGCACTGAAGTCACTTGAAGCTGTGTTGAGGTGCCAGCCTAATAATGTAAAAGCACTGTTTAGAAAAGGAAAGGTAAGCACCTGATTGACTTTCGTTATGCAATTGCACAGGTTATTGTAAAAAGAATCAAAGAGGCTGATTAAGGATAATCATCACTGCTCATCTGAATATATCATTAATCAAATGTTCTTTCAAAAGGCATTGGGTCTTCAAGGAAAATTTAAAGACGCTGTCACAATACTAAAATCTGCCCTGGAATTGGAGCCTGAGTCCCGCCTCATTCACCAAGAACTGGCGAGGGTCCGTGAGAAGGCCAGAGAAGAGGCAGAATCTGAGAAGAGCTTGTACAGGAAGATGCTGGGAATAAAGAAAGAATATTTGCAAGAGGACCAGCGGTACCCCGTCATCAAAACTGTGAGTACTACTACTGTGTCAGAATCTTGAAGAAAACTGTGGTGATGTTTGGGAAAATAGAGTGAATTGATGTGTTGATTTTGCATGCCTTCCATTACAAGAATAGTCTGGTTTTATAATAAATATAAACCCATTGATGCCAAGAGGGCATGTGGACATCCTTTGTCCTTTTGTTTGTCTTTGTCTGTCAATTTAATTTGTTTATATTTAGGTCTAGATCACAAGTGTGGAGTCTACTACTAGTCCTACTTGATCTCACTTGTTTACCCTATTCCTTGAACGTTTGTGAAAAAAAGACATTATTTTTCTTATTATGGATATGGAATGGGATAATGGGAGATTAGGTAGGTCTAGTAATTGACTCCTTGGTGATAGTGCTTGTGAAGCCATAAATGTTTCAACAAAATTGACCTAAAAATAAAGTGGACAGTTAGTTGATAGTCTTTGGGAAACGATGAAAAAGGTTTATGTTGTGACCTTTTGTTTACTTGATAGGCATTTGTAGATATAACATTAAATGAAATGCATTATGAAATGGAAATAGTATATGTATATGTAAAGAAAGAACTTTCACTTCAGGAATGAATTTATTTTGCATACCTGAAATTTATTTATCTTGCTATTTATGCAATATATTTATAATTTTTTCTCTCCCCTTCTCTAACAGTTCCCTTGGAGAGAGTGGTTTGCACTGTTTGTTATGCTGCTAGTACTTCTAATAGCCTACAAGTACCGAGATCTGATATTGGGTATCTTCCAGTGAGAGGGGATAAAGGTATTGTATGTAAGTTGGCTGCTAAAGTGGCTTTGTACTTACCATATTATATAATAAAATTTTAGACCTTGTATTTTTGAAGATTTAAATATTTTTGGTTTTGCTAGTGCAATATTACTCAAGCTATCTGATGTGGCAAACCATCAAGGCTTTTTTTTTCCAATAGGCCAGAGGCTGGTTACATGTATGTGCCATATTATTTTTTGTTTACTGTCTGGAAGACAAAAATTAATATTCATATTAATAATGAAGTATACCATTTTTTTTATATTTATTATTTTTTCTTAAAATAAATGATACTTGTGACACTCTGTAGTAGCCATTGGTTTGCTTACTGAAGTTAGCAAACCACATTTTGGGTAGTACTGCCTTAGGGGTCTTCATGTGCTGTTGCAGTTTGATAGATAAAATAATTGAATTAATGTATGTATGGAATGACAGCAGATTGATTCTTTGCAGCTATAGAATTACAGTTAAGAATTAATTATAAGTCTTGGTTATGTGATGTAGACACATATGTTTTTGTAAGTGACTTGCAAAAGATACATATTTTCTGTTCCTATTGATTTTGCTAACATCACATGACATTGATAGAATAGGCAATGGTAGAAGACAAAGTGCCATTATCATTTAATAGGAGTTGATAGTTTGAACTCCACTCCCTGGTATGGTGTAATATGAACTTATGCCTCACAAAATAAAGGTAATACTCCAATCCACCCTCTCTTCATTTTTAAAGAGAACTGACTAATTACTGACTTACTGCTATTTGACAGGTAGATGGTAAATCTTGCCTCATGTGTATTGCATTAGGTAATCTTTATTAATGTAACCAGGGTGCTAAATCATTCACTCTTGAGTTTGATGAGTAGACTTCAGATGTGAGAAGGAGGTATGACAAAGCAGTTGGATTTTGTTGTTACATGTACTTGAGAAATTGAAGACTGGAGTTCTGCATTCGCTATTCATATTTTGTGACGTTGGAGAAGTATGTGAATATTGATTTCCAAGATCAGTAGAGCATATACTTGTAATAACAGCAACTCCATCCCCATGACATACAGTCAAATTATTCTAGTTGGTACTGGTATGTGTTATAGAATTTTTACTCTAATATTACAAACAGTTTAAAATAGTAAAAGTCTTTGTATCTACAGAAGCAAACAGAATGGTTGCTTTGTCATTTAAATACATTTTATGGTAATATTCAGTACAATATACAACATGCTGTTCAGACTATATTGTTCCAAAGTTGGCTGCCAAGTGAGGGTAAATTTCATGAAACTGGAGCTAACTTGAAGACATTAAGATACAAAAAAAGGAGGGTACCATGTGTGGATACAGCTGGGCAGCTACTTGCATGCTAGATAAGCCAGTCAGCTGCTGAGACTTGGTGCAGTAGTGGCGGTCTGAAAATCTTTGCCTGTATCATCTCGGAAGAGTGACTTAGGATTAAACAATACCGGAATTTCTCCATTGTAATTGGGGACCATTATAGCTAGGTCTGTTATAGCGATGGTAGACTCATGGTTTATGTGAGCAGTCTTTAGTTTTTTTTAATGTCAGCAGCCAAATTCCTTTTTTTTTTTTTTTTTTTTTTTTTTTTTTTTTTTTTAGGCTAAGTGTGTATTATACACTTATGTGCAAGTTTTTTATGAACATGATAATTTAGAGGGACTTATTAAAAAAAGCTATATTAATAAAGTGATACTGATAAAGAAATATTAGATATCTTTTATATTTCAGTAGGAAAGAGAATATTTGAATTAAAATGATTATATGAAATAATGCTAAGATAGAGGAAACTTAGTTAATGAAATGCTTCTTCAGCTCACACACACTGAATATTTTTAAATCTTTAGATATTTATAGGTTTGTACATTTAGGGTGCCAAAATGGGGATAAAAATAGGTTGTTTGGTATTTTATATATATTTGGTCATGAAGAGAGAGGTTGAAAGATAGAGAGAGAAATGTTGAAGATAGAGAGACAGAGAGGGGTTGAAAATAAAGATAGAGAGAGAGGTTGAAAGGTAGAGAGAAAGGGAGGGAGAAGGAGAGAGGGATGGAGGGAGAGAATGAGGGAGGGTGAAAGAAAGAAAAGTGTACGGAGAGAGAATGATGTAAGGTTCAGTTGACTACACTGAAGGCAGAGACATTGTAAAATGATCAGTAGTGGATTTTTTTAAAGCAAATTTTTCCAAAGTTTCCTATATCATGTTGGCAAAAGTTTATCACAAAACATTCATTTTGTATAACGTTCATGGAGTGGCAGTGGGACTAGTAAATCTTAACTCACAAAAGCACACTTTTCTATGATTACTCACAAATCTTATGCACAGAGATTTCCTTCACCACTTCCAATGACTTTTTAATAAGCAGATTTCCCCGGTGGTTTCTGGGATCTCCGTACTATTTCAATAAAACATTGATTATGTAAGTATTTAAGAACTGCAGAGGTTTCCTTTGATGGATGATTGTTTAAATGAAGGTGCTTTTTATTTTTTTATTATTTATATATTTATTTATTTATTTTTTCTAAAATATTTTGTATCAAGGATTTCTCATCATTTTCTATTTTTCTTTTGTATATCATCCACATCTGAATTGAACAGGTTATGAAAGTGCCTCCTCTATATTAAGACATGTTTTTTTTTCCAGAATCTTAATTGCAATAATTGTTAGTACTAAGGTAGAAAGGTAACACATTTTTCAGAGATGTCAGTACTAGATATAGAAGTATATCCGATCAAATGTGGATGGACTTGGTTTTATCCTAATCTCCTGATTTTATTAAGAGTTATTTTATGGATAGGGAACACAAAAATAAGTCTGAATTGGTAGAATAGGTTTATATTTTAGAAGGATTACTATGTACTTGAAAAAGAATATCCTATTTATATGGTTTTGAAATATATTTAGATGTAGATAAAAAGTCTTCATGTTGTCTCTATACATTGTGAACATTAGTGCCTAATATTTACTCTGATAACAGGGAAACAAAAAACAAACATGCACACGCATGCACACACCCGCGCACACACACACACACCCGCGCACACACACACACACATGTGCACACACACACGCACACACACACCCCAATTAACAAGTAAAATACTCTGCAGGAAAGTCTTATGTAGCTACTATATTATAGACTATATTCCATCCTATACAAAGTTTGTATCATAAGGATGTACTTTCCATTTACTCTTGTACTTGTGGATATATATGCAGTTTTGTGATAGCAGTGAGAAATGTTCATGCTTCCTGTAGGATTTCTCACATCAACATGGACAGGACTTGTAGATTATTCAGTAAATGTTTTTGGTTTTGTAGGCATCATAGTTACTCAATCCAGTACCTTCCCTCCATGTAGAATGTTATTATAGTCACTGAAAGTTGTTTAGAAAGTTACAAACCGACTTTGTACTGCACAAATAGGGTAGTTATGTTAATGGAGTTTTCAGAGTGTTTTTCCCCTTTTTTGAATTACATTTTAGGTAATGAGAGAAATTCTGCATAGTCTTTGTATGGTAATTAAGTAGGCTGATCTGTGTATGTGTGGTTTGTTTCGTTTTGTATTTTCATATTTTTTTTCCTAAATGTACAGCAGTGCTATTCAGGATGCCAAAGGAAGTTTTGCAATGGGTAGAGAGTTTGGCTTAAATCAAATACCTTATTGCTTGCTTTTTTTTTCTTTTTTCTTTTTTTTTTATGTAATATTGGTTCTCTCTGGCTCTTGTGTTGTAAAAGGATATTGCCCTTGACTTATTACTTGCCATTTTTGTAATATTTATACACATTTGCTGGAGCAGTACTGGCATTGTTCAGTTCTTCGGTGACCATGGGAACAGCCTGAGTTCTAGAGGTACCTGTTATTGTGTTTAGTGTCTTTGACCATAATACTAAATTTATTCACCAACTAATAATACCTTCCTTCTGTGTTACTCAAAACAGTGTAATATTTACTATAATAATTTTGAGTTGCATTTCTGTTTCTACAAAGTATCTAGAGTTTTTTTGATCACAGGGTTTTGTTGATTTGTTGTTGATTACATCTTGGATACTGTATAAACATGTATGGCATCTCCTTTCTTGTAATACTATGGATCTCAAAGCCTTTTCCTCAGGTGACTCACACATGTCTATTTACACTTTATTGTGGACAGTTGGCCTTTTGCTTTAACTTTGTAATCACTTCATCCTCTCCGCATCACACAGATGGAGGAGGACAGGCTGTTCATAATGTTTAAGTCCATGCCAGATATTAACTGAATGTGGATTATAGATGCATGATTTCTTGCTTCATTAAAGGGAAAATGGAAGGTAATTTAGGAAAGATATAATAAGACCTACTGCAAGCAGGGTAATAAATGGTCTTCAATCTGAGAGTTCTGCAGTAATTTATTGTAAAAGGAAGAGAGAAAAATTGTATCTCTTTAAGAAAAAAAAATATTCCTAAAAAGTTTTTGTGACCTCTATCTCAGGTGTGATCACTTTAACTATGTAGATATCAATATAACTGTGTCTTTAAAGCGTCAAACTATTTTCTATTATCCTCTTCTCAAACAAATGATTGTATGTAAATTAAGTCATACATATTTACTGCTCTTGTAACCATTCCATTATTTTATTAAAAGTAATAAATCTTGGGAGATCTCTCTTGTGTACCTCGGATATTTTTTTTAATCCTATAGCTAGAACTGGCAATTTGAGGAATATGAAAAGAAGCACATTCACCAATTACCATGTTTTTTTTACATACTCAAATGCTAAATGGTAAAAAATCTCATATACTGTATGTATTCTCTAGTTTTCCTTAATGACAGGTTCCTATTGAGTAACTGTTTTTGTCCAAATCAACTAGTTTCAATATCTTATTTACCATGATTGTAATGACCAACTGGTATATTAAAAATTTCTCATTCATTGTAGTTTGCATATCTCAGATAATTAAATATTTCGGTTCTATCTATGCATAATGCAGTCTGTTCTAAGAAGTGATCTGCAATTCTGAGTGGCGAAATCTTTGACGACTACAATATGTAAACCCATTCGCCCCACGTGGCAAGAATAGATGCCATACCCACTTTGATACATGTTTTATTTATTATATTTACACATAGATGGCTCCACAAGTTCTTAATCACCAAATAGCCAGTTATCAAAAACTACCTATTTCACCTGTTTACCCTTTTCCTTCACTTTAGGAAAGGGTTTTTTGTATCATTTCATTGTCGAAAATATTCTAATGACAATTTAATAATCATAACATTAATAACAATAATAACAGTATCTATAGCAATGGTATTAATTTTCCCGCCAATTCAATGAATGGGAAAATCAGGATCGGTAACTAGGGCCTCCTGATAGACTCCTTGCTGGCTGAGCATATGTGGAGTTATCTGTAACAAAATTCACCAAAAACTACAGGGGACAGAACATAAATCTGGGGCGAATGGGTTAAAAGTTGAAACTTGTGAGAACCTCTTGGAAGTATGTAATGTAATACTGATTAGTCAAACTACTTGTGCTTGCTACAGAATAACACAAACTTCCAATAACAGACTACATAACGACCAGTAATCAAAATATGAAAGTGCTGCAAACCCTTTTTAAGCAAATAAATAACAAAACCGTAACAAAAAAAAAAAACAACCTTTGAGCTCAAGTGTTTATTAAATCGTAATGATACAATTCCAGCAAATAACAAATTCAGATCCTTCAGTGCATCAAATGTACCTGAAATAAAACTAATCTGAATAACATAACAATACTCTTCATTCATAACATCCATATCACAATGCACATAATACTCATCCATATTCAAACTATAGAGCTTTACGCGTTGAAATAACAGATCAACCCCAATGATGTACCACGATCCCTGAGCAAACTCCCCTAACCCTAAGACGAGGAGGAGGAGGAGCCGAACCACGAGGAGCTCATGGCCGACAGCAGGGAAGCAGCGCTGCGGGAGGCTGACAGGGCGGCAGATGACATCTCTCTCCGAGCTGACGAAGGACTGCTCTGATCCTGGTTGGGGGAAAGGATTGGAATGGCTGGGCTGTATAATCTGTACACAGTAGTCTTCTATAGAGTATGAATCTTAAACGTCATCTTAGAAGTTTATAATCATATCTTCATTGTGGCAAAGTTGGTCTTTTCAGTGTGAAAGAAAGAAAAAAAGAAATTTAAGCAAAAAGAAAAAGAAAAACAACAGGGCTGAACAATGCTGATTATAGACAGTTTTTAGAATATTAGTCAAGAGCATATAATTATTATAAAAAATAATATTATTAAATCGTAATGATACATTCCAGCAAATAACAAATTCAGATCCTTCAGTGCATCAAATGTACCTGAATAAAACTAATCTGAATAACATAACAATACTCTTCTTTCATAACATCCATATCACAATGCACATAATACTCATCCATATTCAAACTATAGAGCTTTACGCGTTGAAATAACAGATCAACCCCAATGATGTACCACGATCCCTGAGCAAACTCCCCTAACCCTAAGACGAGGAGGAGGAGATAAAAAAATAATAATAAAAATAAAAGTTAATGGTGCAAAACTAATGGACTGTATCACCATTAGCATTTACTAACACATAAGTAGTTTTCATTGATATAAATTCCTATATATTGTTAAGAAAAAAAACAACACTGCTACACTTCAGATTTAGATGATAAAAACATATTGCATGCACTTTGCATTTTAATTGCCACTTCAAGAGAAAAAAAATTACCTTAAAAAAACAACCCCCCCCCCAAAAAAAAAAAAAAGGAAAACAACTTAATTTATAACCTTAAGTAGTATATAAAAACAAAGCTCATAACAGTGAAATTTGATTGCAATTGTATTTACAAACCAAATAAAAATCCTCTTCACTAAACATCTTAACAAGTGTACAGTTGTAACTTATAACTTGTACACCTAGGCTGCAAATTGCTAATCAAATTTCATAAATCTCAAGGTTATTTTTTTTCACTTCATGCAATAAGTGACACCTTATTCAGACATACTCTCATTTCTCTTTTGAAAGAGGATGAAGCTGCTGTAAACATAAAACAATATTCTCTAAGAACATGGGCAAAAAAGTATGTCAAAATCAATTACTTCAGGAATATACTGACTACAAATTCATTGAAAAAAAGGGTGTGTGATCCAAAAAATCATATTTATCAAGAGATGAAAAATATAATAATAATGAAAATATAGAAGCAATCTTTGAATAAAACCCACCTTAGTTGAGCTAAGTTTTGGAGGAAGTCCTTCATTCACACTTGAAGTTAAGCTTGGAGTGGTTAGGGATGTATGAATGGTGGGCCTAGACAGCGTGATGGGAAGAGGCACATTCGAGAACCGTGGGATTTCCACCGCCTGAACTATTGGCAAGGCGTTGTTGGATGTTGTCGCTGAGCTTCCCACCGATGGAGCTCTTCCGGTGACGACTTGGCGGTCACGTGACAGTATGGCCCCCAGAACCACCTTGTGGAGTGAAAAAAGGCATTAATGAGAACCATGAATTGTAAATTGTCCACACTTACTGGAGATTTATCAGTACAAAGAATTAAGGATTCAATGAAATGCATGACTGGCATTAGTGAAAAAGTGAGTTATGTCACTGTATGCAAAATAAATCTCAGAAAATATTTTATTTATGCAACCCCTTCATCACTGATGTTAAATATGGTAAACAAACCCTGATTTCTTCTTCTTCTTCCAGGACCCTCGTCAGAACCTACTACATTCAACAAAATTATATAAAGCAAACTTAAATCACCACTTTTTGTTGTCACTTTTGCGTTATAAGAACATACAGCTTTCTGACCTGCACTCTGTGAGCTGCCAACTTGACTCTGGAAGATATGTGTGGAGTAAATACGTCTAGGTCAAAGGGGTCGACCTTGGCCTCCAGTGCTTGTATCATGGCCGTCAGTCGAGACCCAACATCCTGGTAGAGACAAGATGTTAGTTCTTGTATTAATTTGTATGAAAAAAAAAAAAATATATATATACTTCTATTTCTTTGGAGACACTTTCATACACACGCAGACACGTGCAAGCAGACACACAAACACATGCACCCAGAGACAACCACAAGCACCACTTATGCATGTGCACACTCACATCCACATGACCCCCCCTCCCACACACATGTTAAACTCAAAACTGGATTGTCATTACTAGTTTGAAATCAGACTACTGCATTTATGTCTTAAAGCAATAATGAAGAGCAATCTACTAAAAATCCTATTTTCTTCATGATTATCTTTAACACACACTGACTGGAGTCATGAAAAATAATGCTATATCAGAGCCCATTAATCTACCACAGTATTTTCCTAGCAAATAACACAAATTTGCTGGAGAGTCAAGATTTGTACATGCAGATTTTTTCATTCTTATATCTTGTTAAATCTTACAAACCTTGCTATCCCGTGGAAGGAGTATGGTCTGAATGAACCGCAAGTCGAAGATGAGCTGCAGTGCAAGTGTTTGGTTCACTTCCTTTGTGTCGGTTAAGGCACTTTCGTAGGCACTCGTCACTGCCTCACAAGCAGATGATGCAAGTTCACTTTGAGCATTCCTGAAAGCAAAAAAATAACCATAAACTTTAGTCACATATAATATTCCCTACTATGGCAAGACAGCCAAATACCAATCACTTATGAAATTGGTCTCAAGGTAATTATCGCCCATGAATATACACAAAATACACATGTATAAGAATCCTGTGATGTTCTTCTCTCACCTTGTAATAGTATGGGCAGCAACACAGTTCACGGACGTGCATAGTCGGGAGAGAGCTTGGGTGAGAGCAGGCGTGGGGTGGGCAGGAACATGGATAGATGACTTTACTATATTTCCGCCCTCCCCTTCTTCCTCAATATCTACTATCTCCCAGGTCTGAAAGAAGAAGACACCTATTTCATATCTAAAAAAAATAAAATAGTACAGAGACAATAATTCAAAAATAAATCAGTCTCATATCACTCTCAAGCCTTTTAGACAAAATCCAACACTAATTACCGGAAAATAGGATATGGCAGCAGCTACTCCTCCTGATGAGAGCTCCGTGGTAAGGAATGTTTTAACCTCAGTGCCAAGGTGTGAGGTGAGGGATGTAAGGAAGAGTCCAAACAGTCGTCCGCTGGCTCCCTGGAACTCTGATCGCATTTTTGTCCAGGAGTCCGTTTCTAACTTTGATCCCATTGATATACGCTGAAATAAATGATTTTCTATTAAGCACTTGCTTGCCATTAAGAGATAAATTATACATTCATAAAGATTCCAAGATGAATACAGTAGTCAACCTTGACATGTAAAAATAGGAAGCATGCCTTTTACCATCAAACTTGTATTTATAGTGGCCACTACACAGATTTTCAGACTAAACAAGAGGCAAATTTAGAATCTAAAATACTTCTCATCTCAGTAGCATACTGTATCAAACATATCTTTTTGATATTGTCTCACCCTTGCCATATCTGGATTTGCCAGGCTTGCTGCTGAGGCACACATCTGCATCTGTGGGCAAACGTTGGGCAGGGCCAGGCAGACACGACCTATGACCACCAGGATAGTAGAGGGAACACTCAGGGCAGCTCCATCTACCTCATCCTCCCATCCATCCTGAACTCTGGGAGCTGTCTGGGCCATATGGTACTGGGCTAGCTTTGCCAACTCTGATATGAGTCTTGGGGGGGGGGGGGAAGGTGTAATAAAAAGTACAATGAAAATTTATATAAAAGTATGACAAACATGATTTGCCAATTCTACAGAAGCTTAAAGGACACTCACTGTGTAAAGACTGAAGTACTTGTTTCTTGAAGGAAATTAAGCAATGCAGTGTAGTCTTCTTTGGCACTTAGATCCTCTTCTCCAACTGGGCTGTCCTTGACAAAGCATAGGTCTCCATTTGCGGAACCTTTTTAAAAATGAAGATTAATGAGTACTGTACCAACATTGAAAATTCTTGCTTAGTATTAGGATTAGGGTCCTGAAAAACAGTAGACTAATTTACCTTAAACACTGTCATGTGAAACTAACAGCACAATTTTCTTCTTCCCCAAAATCACAGCCCTTCATCACTATTCGTTTAGACATTAGGATTAAGAGTTCAGTTACTGCTACTAAATATGGCTCTATGTTTTTGACATGGACTACAATAACTCTTGACGAAATAAAACAACTATTTTACCTTGTAATTGTCTTACCTAGTTTGTTTATGTCTATGTTTAGCCAATAATCTGGGTTTGGTTTGATAGCAGTTAAGTTTGTATGTTACTTTGTTCACAACTATGTGGTTGTACAGTATTATATTACTCAGTTCAGTATTATAGAAGTTTTACGTATATTGTTTTGTATTTTACCCAAGTTATTCTTCATACATTGTTTGCTTGTGTGATGCTATTAAAAGGTTCATATTCCTCCCCCCTTTTATGAATTATGTATTATGTATCAACAAATTTATGATAGCATGGTTCAACTGTTAGTATGTCCATTCTTTCAAATTCTTAACTGTGAAATTAGAATAACTGTCTCGAGTGATTCAACTTTTGCATACCTGAATTGTAATGGCCCACATCTTGCAGAAGAGCCGTCAGCCTCGAATTGAGTGCTCTGCAGATAGTCTGTAACCGGCTGGTGTATCCACGCGTCTTGTAGTAAAGACCTGGGTGAACACAAAACTGAACACACTTAAAACACTGTAAAGACTAAAATGTGATGTCAAGGCAAATTACACATGAAAAACAAAATACATTAAGCAGTAAGTGCTCAACCCACCGCCTGCTTGTGTGACAGATCGTGACGAGGCACAAGTCCATCCAACGCGTTCCGGCAAGTCGCCAGCAGATTCACTCCACACAAAGCTGGTGATATCTCCTTCCTCTGAGCAGATCCTGAAATTCATATATAAAATATTTTAGCAACTAACTATTCCCATCAATTTCAAACATTAAAGTTAATTTCATGAAAACGAGGAGACCAGCATCTTTTACTTTACTGTCATTCATACTTTGTTTCTGAAGCAATACATAGCATAATCAAAACTAACAAAAGGCTCACTTTAAAACACTTGAGGAGTTAATCAACATGAAACTTTCTTTTATAAAATGTAAAAAAATTTACTCTTGTCTGCCACAACACAAAATTCAATCCTACAAAGCAATGTGTCAAATATCAAATATATAAAAGTTAATCTCTTAACTCACTTGGGGTCTGCAATTATGTCATCTGCAAGTTTGGCTACCATTTGGACTATTGCCTCTTTCGCATTAGTCAGCTGAGATGTAATGACCTGACGCGCCCTTTCTGTCACTTGTCCTCGGACAACGGAATCCCAGGGGTCAAGGTAGGATCCGTACAGGACATCTGTTGTCTGGAAGATCCAAATATCCAAACAATTATGGGTAATGCATGACAAAGAACTTTATTTATTTGTCTCGATATTCATTTATTACCATTCATTTTAATTAAACAGCATAGAGGCCAAAGAAATGAGCCTATTACCGTTTTCCACTGCTCTTTTTCAACTTTGGCTTGACAAATCTCCCACACACTTGTGCGGATCATAGCTAGGGCCTTGATGGTTGTAGAGAATGCTGTAAACAAATATAAGATTAACAAAATATAACATACCTTCTTGGCATCATCTGAACTCCTGTGTCACACATCACAAAGAATAATGTAATACAAATGGAGAGAAATGAAAAAGCAGAAGGAAAAATAGAAAGTAGTAGGAGAATAAGGTGAAGAAAACAAGGCAAATACTATAACTTACAAAGTAACACTGCAAGAGCATGTGATGCTTCTTTCAACACCAGGTTTAGCCAGTCAGTAACCTGTTTCTTCAGAATGTCATCATTTAACGAATCCAAGTGTCCTTGTACAGAGGGTCTGCCAAAGATTGAAAGAAACAAAAATAAAATGAAAATTTTGCAATCACTCACTCTAGAACTATCCTATACTACACACTAGTCTCACATCATGTTAATCTTTAGCTACTTTAAACAAAACAGCCAATATCTGCTTGACACTCACCTGAAGTTTCTGATGGACTGAGGCAAAAAGGAGAGGGTAAGTAAAGATTCTTGAAGATGAGTTATGGGTGTTCCATCCTCTCCTTCACCCTGGACTATCTCCTGCAAACGCTTCTCAAGAAGACTCTGTCCCTCTTTACCTTCTGGAAGGTGTAAATGGTCAGATATTTCATCCAAAACATTTGTTATATCCAACTTCCTATATTTATGTTTTGTTACACTTGTATAAAAAAAAAAAAAAGCTACTGCCTACAGGTGTGTGAATTGTCTGAATATAGTCTACACTCCCTAAATCATGCCCTATCAAACTTTTTGGTATCTGTACTTACTCCCAAAGACAGCATGAATGATATTCAAAGTAGCTAGGAACAAGGTAACAAATTGTGAAATTTGTGCTTTAGCAGTGGCAGATGGCTTTGGTGCAACTGCAGACATGAGAGCAGTATGGCGCAGCTGAAGGACCCGAGACAGAGCATCTGTGGAGCTGCATCCTTCCACTAACATTACTGAAACTACAGCATCTAATACAGCCTGGAATAAAATTGAGAGAATATGAGAGTAACATATACTATCTACTGATCTTAAAGATATTTAGCAAATATGTCACTATTATAGGAAAATATGATTTGAAAGTCAAGTTCCATTGCCTTCTTAACCCAATGACGCTGGGTGTACAAAACAAAAAAAAAAACTCTACGCTCTAGCAAACAAAGGCGGCGCGCCGACTTTGAGTGCATGAGTAGAGGACATCAGCCCGAATCATTGGCTTGCTGCGGCGTACAGCCGCATGCCAGCTTTCGAGCAGTTTGTTTACACGCCAATCGACGTCACCCAGCATCAAGGGGTTAAGTTGGATAGATTAATTTGTTCACAGCTTTATGAGGGCAAATATGCTTTACCTGAACATCATCAACCTCAGAGCTGATGAGATTTGAGCAACCTCTGACAATCGTAGCACGGAACTGTGATATGCTAGCCCACTGCCGCTCTATAACTGGAAACCAAGACTGGATCTGAAAAGAAAACAAAACATTTAAAAAGACATCAAAAGCATCAAATTCATGAAGACAGATATATCCTGCTTCAGGATTATACAACACAATATTCAGAGAAAAAAATATTGCCACAAACACACCTTTGAAGCATTAGGGGCCAGTTGCAGGGCTGTGTGAGTATGGTGAGCCAGGAGCAGCAGCTGAGTAGCAGGCAAGTAATGGCAGCGCTCAGTAAGACTCCACAAAATCTCCGGAACGGCAACAAGCAGCTTTACTTGCACTGCCACTGAATAGTGAGATCCTGGTGTTGGTGATCTGTGTGTTTGATAATTAGACCTTAGTTTAATATAACACAAAATGTAATGAAACTACTCAAAAGCATGTACAAGTATACAAAAGAAAAAAGAAAGAAAAATAAAGGTAAAAACTATCTTCTCTTTAATGGACTTAAAGGGAGTTGTAGTTATTGAAAGGGTAAATTGTTGGACATTTTTCATTGTGAAGCCTGATATCAAGCCTGAATCATATCTTTATAGTAACACATTAACATTTGAACAATTCTACACAAGATGTAAATGCAAGATAGAAAATTAAAAGAAAAATAAAAGGCATCTGTTTAAAGCAAAATATAATTCACTGAATTTCAGCAAAACAATCAAAGTCCATACAGGGGGCAGCTCATACACATGTAACTTTTTAATATTTTTTTTTGTTAAGGCATTATTCTCACTGGGTTGACTGGTAGTTTCCTCTCAGGCAACTCAAAGCACAACCAAAACAGCTGTGGTGACTCCAACACTGTCACTCAATAACACTGGCTAAATGTCACTAAGACCACAGATGTCTATTCTCAGAAAATGGAAAATAGTTTGTACCTCAGTGTGCCATTGCTATGATGGCTCTGTGTCTTGAAGCCAATGAGTCCACGCTGTTGCAAACTTTCGCAAAGTCCCTCCATGGTACGGATATTGCCACAGATTGCCTCTGCACTGTTTCTCATTTCTGAGATTGTGTCTGCTGCCTCAATAAGGTCTCTATATCTTTCTCTGAAAATCAAAAAGTAATGTTTTATTAAAATAAACCAAAGATAACCACAGCCAAGATCAAGATCACTATGAAACTGTTGCTTATGAATTCTATCATTAATCTCTATGGATGCACAATTTTGAACTCATTGGCATGTGCCTGTGTGTCAAGTCAAATATTAGTCCTGTCTCCCTTGCTTAACAAGTATCTTGGTATTTAGAAAACTTATCTTTTATCTTTTAAGCAATTAGTACCTTTAAAACAATATAATAATCTTAATTTCAAAGATAATAATGACCGTATTGACTTCAACAGCATTAGAAAAAGACACCATTCCTGAAAATTCAATGATTAAGGAAATCTAGTAGGCTCATGTAGAGACTATTAACTGGCTCCTTTGTAACTGACCACTTGTGGAACCTTCTATGTGTAAACTTCAACAAAATTAATGTAGACAGTAAATATCCTTAGTGCCATTGGGTTTGAAAACTACTGTAAAAGAAACCTACCCAACCATAACACGCAAATCCTCTTTCTTCTTTTCAATGTCAGATCGTGTCTTTTTCAAGATGTCTTGTACCTGCACCACAGTGTGGCGCTCAAACAAGAGGGTCACATCGTCTTCAGATGTTACGGCAGGCATGATTCTGGACGTATAATCTGAAAAATAAATGCATCAGTGATACTTGAATTCTGTGAGAAATGTTTTAGAAATTTAAAAGTAAAGCTTAAAATGCAGACAATGAACCAATCCAAGTTCTATCATGCAGAATATACAAGATAGAGGCTTGTGAATCTGCTGTAGCATAATGTACAGAAGCCATGGTTCTGAAAAATCCAACTTTCAGGAAATATGAATATGAACTTATATTTCTGTAATATATTCGTAGGGGTCAAAGAAGTTCTCAAAGTCCATAAATTTAGATTAAGATTACAGAAGAGATATTATAGATGAAATGGAGCTACTTTTACTAGTCAAACCTTAACTATTTATACAGTATGAAAAAAAACTGTCGTAAGGCAAGTTACTCCGACAGTCACTTACAAAGCTTTTCTAAAAATACGACACTAATAATGAGAAGCTGTCATGGATACTGACTTGTCAAAATCGGCTGCCGGGTCCTGACACCTTACTTCTTTGCGCTTAAAACACTTAAAAAAGAGAAAAACACAACAAAATCAAGGTATCAAAGCAAAAACACATTAACTACAACTCCCACCCGCAGCCTCCCTTGCCTAACAACGCCCATTCGCGGGGTATTTAAGAGCCAACTTACCCCAGAGTCCCACCTTCCTCCGCCAAGTCCTGTGTTGTGTTGGCAGGAGACGACCAGTAACGTCAACAAAGATTCCGAGAACACTAAGGGGTCACTAAATCACTTAACATAGGTTTCTTTTCACTAAATTAGTACCATTATTATTCTTAAATGATCATGCTGTTTTGGAATATTTATCCATATCCTTTTGGGAGATGAATGGAGTGCTAAATCTTCTAATTTTCCATTAGTTATGTCACCGTGTTTTGTAATCAGCTGATGGAGTAAACAAACCGCGGAGAGACAGCCCATCGGTGTGAATTTCCGGCGGGATCTTATTTAAGGAAAACCCAGGCTCCCTTTGCGCTCATCAGGTCGGTGAGACTTGTACTTTGCTAAAGTAAGATGGTGGAGTTAAAGAATGTCTTAAAAGATTGAATAGATTAATGGAAGTAGTTATTCCGCACTTCGAAATTTTGACTGTCATGTCCCTAGTATATTTGGACTTCAAACCAAAAGGAAGCTTTTAATACTCTAGTTAACTTTGAGATAAATTTGGTATAGTTTAAATTTCACACGGAATATTTTACATGTGTAGAACAGAATGACCGAAAATAGGACAATTTTCCTTAATGGTATTACTT